GGATTTTCTTTATTTTCCGCGAGAATAGAAAAGAATTTTTGTCCAATTATACTTTTATATCTACGAGAAATTAGCGCGAATAGCAAAATTGCGTGTTGCTCGAGTATGTCTAGTATTTATTCCTATATAGGATGAAACAAAAATCCCTAGAACCGCGAGTAAATAACTTTTAGGAATACGTTAAAAGAAAGTACGAACTAATTTGAGAGGGGTAAAAAAAAAAAAAAAAAAAATTAGGAGAACTTGAAAGCTACGATAAAAACGGAGGATTTACATAACGAGGAAAGTTTCGAATGCAAAGAAATAAAATCCACCGAGTCGCGTAATTCTACCCAGTTACTTACAACGAACACGTTAAAAACTATCGTTTAAGAATGATCAAAGACCACTTTGAACCTTTGTCTGTTCATTTTTATGTTACAGCTCGCCGTTTGAACGAATATATCCGCCACTACGAACCACTCTCTTATCCCACCGAAGAGGTCCACCGAGGTCACTTGAGGGCCAAGAGGTCGGTTACCCGCGACAATTCCGTGACTCTGAAGTTTCGCTCGCACGGAAGGGACTTCCACATTCGGTTGAAGCGAGATCTGGCTACCTTTAGCAATAATTTAATTATCGAAGGGCCGTCCGGTCAAACGGAAGACCTCGATACGTCCCATATTTACCAGGGCCACTTAGTCGGTAAGTTTGATCATCATTTTCTATCCGTTCATTCTGCGATCTGAATTATACGTTACATTGTACGTGAAATCACATTCTGACAGGAAAGTTTTCACATTTTTGTCTAGAAACTGTTGTTCCACACCGTGATTACGATACACTCTCGTACGCGTTTTTATTCGTAAAATTTAATAAAAATAACACGCGTAATAGTAATAGTAACGTAAGACTCGATCGAAAGGATCGTTGAACCTTCCACGAAAATTACAAAGACCCCCTTCGTGTCTAAGGTCAAGGTGTCGTAACGTTGTTATAAAGACGCCTGCGCGTAAAGGTGAAAATGTGGTAATGGGTTGAGTGACTTCGCTTACACAATACATCGTGCACGGTGTTGAGCTTTCTATAGCGTATGTAAATCACAACCACTTTGCCGTTCAAGCGTTACACTCGAAAACTTTATCCACGAGCAGAGTACCGTTTTACCGGTATAGTCACCGCGTTATATCTCTCTTCTCTTTAAGCCGTCTCGCGATACCCACAGGTGTGGCACGCAAAAGTGCGTGTAGATACCGGGTGAGACCTTTATTTCCACTCTAATAATTTACGATAGTTCGTGCACGAGGGGACATTTTAAATTATGGATTGGCTCGAGCCGGCTGTTGGGAACTGTTTATCTTTCACTTTTGTGCTCGCGCCCTCCCCCTGCCGCGACCTGGTTACGTCTACGTGTTTACTGGAAGGAAAAAAAAAAAAGCTCGATCACTTATTTCGATTCTCGAAGTACAAGGGAGAAAGAAAGAAAAAAAAGCATTTTAAAATATTCGTGACATTGAAGGATACTTGGCCCCGATTTTTCCCTTCCATTTTATAAATAATAAGAGAGAAAAGAATCTTGGAAAGGATTATTATTATATATTTTCGTGCAAATATAAAAATTCGATCATTTATAGATCATTTCAATAGTTATTTATTTTTTTAAAGACTAATTTTTTTATAATTGCATTATAAAGGAATGGATAAAGAAGAATTTTTATTTTAAGTAAATAGAAATATAAATAGATTTTTATATTATATTATTGATCAACTTTTGTTTCTTCGTGTTTTGTGATTTATCATCGATATAATACGTTACAATTAATAACATATTCTCTTCTTTCAGATATTATATTTTTAAACAATTTTAATTCTACGCTACGCTATTTGAATACGTAGATATCATTTTAAAACTCGAATATTTCTTGAATATTCTCCTTTCTCTTCGCGCAAATAATATATATCTAACTAAGTTTAACGCACAAAAATGTCGCAGTTAATTTAATTCTTCGTTCCAAGAAAGGAATGAAATATCGATATTATACTATCCTTGCATGTAAGTACCGTATCATATCTAACCTGTTCAAACCTGTCATCCGAGATTTATAATCATGGAATACAATTCTCAAAGAAACTCGAAATAACATACTGTCGAGAATCGTGTGAACTATGTGCACAACTCCCTCAACGATTTATTTCCTCGCTTCCTACCACTGTAATATAAACACGCTACAATAAAATGAATATTTTAATTCCTTTCTTTAATATCATTTAAACACGAATTATCGAAATATATTTATTAATTAATATTCATTAATCGATACTTTCTAAATATCCCTCATATTTGTTATCACTTTTCAGGTGAGCCCGGTAGTCACGTGTTCGGAAGTATCAGCGACGGTGTTTTCCACGGGAAAATCATATCGCCCCGTGGTGGCGCGTGGTACGTGGAAAAGGCGTACTATTATTTTCCCCCACACGAGATAAATGACACGTTGCATTCCGTCATCTATCATGAAAATAACGTGGACGATCCGTACGCCCATCTTCGAAAAGGTAAATCGAATCGTCTCGTTCTCCTTTCTTTTTCTTTTTCTTTTTCCTCTTCGTCCAATTTCATTGTGAACAATACAGATAGTGTTACGAAAATCGGTGCGGAAGAGAGAAAAAAAATAGTCTCGGAAACTCGTCGATGTTATTAAAGAAGAAAACGTGAAAGTTTGAAAACGAAAAGTGAACAAAATATAAAATATTATCAGCAGTTTTTTTTTTATTATTGAAAGATTCTTCGTAATGGTTATGAAATTTTTTTCTAAGCATTAATTAAGTTGGAAAAGTAATTAGTTAAAAAGTTTCGAATAAAGTTACGTTTAAGCAATTACTTGTTAAAACAGAATTGAATAACATTTATTCTTAGCTAGTATAATCGATCCGCTCGACCGTTTGGCATTACGATTATTTTCAATTATTCTTAACTTTTTTCTTCGTAACTTCAACCCATTAAATTTTGCCCATCGTCATCCGATATATCAAGATAATTTTTCGAACGAAGCTTGGCTAGTTGCCAAGTTAGTTAAGTGGCTAAAAAAAAAAAAAAAAAAAAA